TCAAGTTTGTGCTTAAAAATGCCAACAGTATCTGAGAGGACCACCTCGTCAGTGAGTCCGTTCCACTGCTTTGATGACCCTCTGAGAGAAGGCGTTCCGTCGATGTTTTCTACCTTTTTCCAAAAACTCGGATTCCACCATATTCTTGTATTGTTCAAAGCGCAACGCTACTATGGTAGGGGTATATACCGCTTTACTGACGTGGTACGGATTCGGTTCTGCTGTATAAAATCCAAAACGCGAACTCTAGCTGCAATGGTAACTTAACAATTTAATGTTACCAGCCAGATGTCAGACCAACTGGATAAGGAGTATATAGGATTCCATGAAGAGAGCCACTACGGTCTTAAAAGGGTGTCTGCAACGTCACAACAATTGTCCGACAGACGGTAACATACGGATAACACACGTTGTCTCGAAAATATTTTGTGAAACTCGGAAGCGGTAGGATACCTGTCACGGGCGTGGGATCATAATTCTGTCCGAAAATACCGGATTCAAAACCATGGTTGTTTGGGGGACAAAAAGAATATCAAAGCAACTTTGGGCATCCGAAGTAAATAGAAGACCGTAATTTCATCATTAGGTGGCAATCCTTCACTGCAACGTCTCAGGTGGTTATTTTCAAAGCTGACTTAATATCGATACAGCTAGCAAGGTCCTTATTAAGCAGATCGTGTTCATATCAATATTTAATTAGACACAGAACTGACTCTAGGTGAGGCACGTCCCGGGAGAGCAGAAAATGAAAGTATTATTACATGCTCATACGAAGGACCACGTACAAATCACTGGTCGACTCGTATTTAAGGGCAAAGATTGACTGTTACACTTGTTTAACGTCCTGCTCCGCGTCTATGCAAACGCACTCGAAGTGACCGCCTTTTCAAATACGATGATACGCTGCTGGCTATCATAGATAGCACAAAAAAGATGGAATTATTGTTTCGCAGCTTGTTACTTCGAGGGCGGCAGTATCGGTTGCGTCCATGTGAACGGTAAACCGACTCACGCGCCTATTACAAATTAACAGCCACCTTTCCCTATCCGACCATCCTGAGTCTCGCTAATCCGCTTTTGCAGTCAAACTGCTACAAACGCATGCCTTAAATACTTTAAGCCCTCTCATGGATGAGTTCTATAAAACACAATGCCGAGGGGCACGACGTATTGACCGGAGCGTTTAATAATTATTTTCGGTATGGCAGTCTTGTAGGGTCTACTTAATGTAATATAAAACTAGTCTCATCTACTCTGTAGCTTGATTTACAGCCCTTGTAAATTAATTTATCGCGCACTGGTGACTTCCAGTCGCAAAGCTTTTCTGACGGCTGCTGCAGAAAAAGTTGCTAGATAGAGTTGTTATAAGTTTCCACTTTTCTACCGCGTAACGGGTTTTCTGTATACTTCCTATCGGGGATGAGGCAGACAACAATCCCAATTCAAATTTATATTTTGACCAAAAAATGAAATTCGTGACACTTCAACCGACGCACGTTTTGTTGCAACAGCCAAAATAAAGGCTCCGTTACTGGAGATCACCTGTGCACCATAAGAAAATTGAAAACAAAAGTGTAAATTGGGCTACTGAGTAGATACAAGTAGGCTTATACTAGCTACCTCTACCCTATTGCCCTCTAGAAGTGAAATATATTATCGTGTTTCAAAGTTGGATATCGCAGCGGAACGTATAGCCACTGAACTTACATTATTGAGTGATTCTGATTTAACTGTGCTCACTTCAAATCAAATTATTATTAAAGCCTGCCGGAAGCTACAGTTTAGCGGTACATTCAGGCACTTCTCACAATACCATCGAACGTTTCGACGGTGATTGCAAAAAAATATTCCACAATGAATGAACATTGAAACAGAATATAAAGCTCATGCAGGGCATACATTTTAGCTTTTAAAACAACTATTTTTACAAGTTATTGAGTTAAATGTGTTATGCATAAACTGCACTTATTGTACATGTAGAGGAGGTTGATTAGCTCAAAACCTTATGAAGTGAGTTCTGCTTAATGTCCTCGTGAAGTAACCAAGTGGCTAATACCGCCTACCATTTTTACATAGTATGTCAGCCTAGATAAAATGGATCAGTTAACTCACCGTTTACAACAATGTATGAGGCATGCCAGCGAGCCGTCATATCAGCAACACGTTCTTTATTTTGCATCTGCGAATCAAACCGTAGGACAGACCATTGGGTCCGATTGCTTTCCTTTCCAAATACGAAAAATGCCCTGGGAAATCTATTGTTTTGATTGAAGGGGCATGGAAACGTGTTCCTGTCTGCAGCTCCAATCCAATTGCTAATCCGAGCCAAAAGTACACTTCCGTATAAAAGTGAACAAATTGAGCAATATTCACTTACGCACACTCGATGCTATTCTGAAATATAAAGTGAGAGCTCAGCAGGCGTTCACGGAACTGCCCAGTCGTCTGCGTCCACTGAATCTCTCTAAGCATTGCTGGAACGTGAAGCCTCAGCTTCTCACGTTTCAGTTCTTCAGAAGCGCTCGTCCAGCGTGAAACGGCGGCGAACACCTTCTCCTCAGAATTCACTGCCAGATCACCACTTCGGATAAGTGTGAGCACTGTCTCGGCTGGCAGATGAACAAATAGGTCACTCTGCACAAAACTCTCAAATTGCTCTTTCATGTGCCGGAGGCAAGCGTCCATCAGTATTCCCATATTGAGAGACCTGGCAAACTCCAATCTGGTTTGCAGATTTCCTATATTCATCCTATCGACCATGAGGTAGAACAAAATCCAAGCACATATTTACGTGTTGATAAGGAATTTGGTTCCCCAGTTCTCCAGGACAGGAAGCTGGATCATTCTTGCAAAGGTAATCATGCCCCTCACGTTAGATTGTGTCATCTCCACTTGACCGGTGTATACATAGTGGAGAAGTGACTTTGTTAGGCTATGAAATGCATAAGAAGCAGGTGGCATAAATAAACATTTACATTTACCTAAGAGGCACTGACGGCCATCTTAGGACCGTAACATCCTCCCCGGAAGGGCCTTTAAGAGAGGCGCTCAAAGATGGAATGCGAGCTGCTAGAATTATTCTGTGAGCGTGGAGCTGAGCACCATCCTCCACCTAACAAGCAGAGGTCAGTTTAAAAAGGAGGCCAATTTACCTCTATAATAAGGTCTTTAAATTCTTCAGCGATACGAATCCTGTTGAGGCGAGGGCAACTGCGGATCAGGGGATATTTGTCTTGAAACAATTCTGCTTGTGACATCTCAGGCAGAGTGGAAGCGAAAAATGACGATACAGGCTATGGAACGCTTTTTGTTTGAACCATCACTGTTTGCAGACAGCCGAACACACAGACGCACACATGCTCTTACCACATGCGGATTCTGATTGGCAGCCAAATATTTTGTGCATTCGATTGTGCGGTAGGTAGCGCAGGCTATTTTTATTGGCCAAGTAAGCGATCGATCAGACAAAGCCATGCCGTCTAGAAGCCAGAGACGACGTTCGTGTCGTACGAAATAGCCTGGCATGGCGTGAATTAAAGTAAAGGTAATCAGTACCTCGTTTAATGCTCGCTGCCAAAGGAAGGTCGTATGGTGGCATAGACGAATGGGTCATGTCTTTCAGATAGATCTGCCGGCAGGAGCTTCCTTGGTAGTGTCGGAACAAAACTCCACATTTCCAGGTTTGACGACAGCGATTCGAGCTCGATTCGAGGTCG